TGATTCTTCCAACCTGGCATTTCTCATGATGTACTCTGCATATAGGTTAAATAAGCAGGGTGACAGTATACAGCCTACTCCTCTATAAATTGGAATAACTTCAGAAAGATGGCCATAGACATTTAACTCTTAGAGAGGTATTTGAGAGACTGAATAAGTAGAAGCAGCCTTTTTTCAGTGGTGGATCACCTTAATCTGTCCCACAGTTTTTCCCTTGAAATTAAGTCTAAAGTTTACTTAAAGTCAACAAAGGTGGTCAAAAGGGAGCCTTGGGTGGGGGTGGGGGTGGGGGGCGCAGAGTATTTTCTAGCCAAAGGATGAAGGAGCAGACTAAAACCAGCCTGCTCCTCAGCAATAACATTATCATTTTGGACCCAATCCAGTAATTTTGAATATAGAAATCTGGCATATGGCTTACTTACTGTATTGAGTAAACTAATAGGCCTGTGATTTGTAGGGACAAGTCTGTTTCCTTTATTTTTATAGAATGGAATGACAGAAGCTTGATTCCAGTAATGTGGGAAATGATCTGAGCTAGTAATATGAGTAAATAAAGCAACCAAAAGAGGGCCCACCAACCCTTATCCTCCATTATTAGTTCTGGGGGAGTGATATCTCCTCCTGATGCCTTTCCAGGTTTTAGATGAGTGATGAGGTCTTTGACCTCAGCTGTAGACAGATGACCAATCAGGGAGATCACTGCAAGAGGAAGTCAAATGAACATTTTCCAATGACTCCTTTTTGAAGGTATTTTGAAAATAGATCTCCCAATCTTCCACGGATATTAGCAAGACCAAAACATCTGTCAATAGGAAAGTAGTTATTTAGATGCCAGAACCAAAAGGGGTTCTTAATTTTGGCTGCTACAGTGAAATTCCTCCAGTCCTCTCTCATAGCCTAAATTTTCTTTAATTTTAAGGGATCTTTATAAATTTTCTTTTGCTCTTTGAATAATTGAAAAGCACTTGGTAAGTTACTTTGTAAGATGGTAATTACTGCATGGAAGAGAGCCTTTTTACCTGGATACAGTCTATCATATCAAGATTTGGACCTCATATGAGAAGAACCTGAGCTGGCAATCAAAAGAATAGTAAGCGCTGTAGTTGTAAATGCTGCCAGTGAGTGGAAAATGTATAATTTATTTTTCTAGTCTGTTGAGGCAAAATAATTTTTATGCCCTTTAGTGCCAGAAGTTTCAACGACGCAAACCCCAAATGTTGTAAATGTAAGAATGCCGTTATTAAGTTGTTTAATATATCCTGGAACCCTAAACCTGTGACAAATAAATTGACTTTCACAAATTACCCAAAACCAAAAGGAATGTTATCTTAATTGGAATGGAAATTGTATTTTGTTCAACTGACTCAACATTTAATTCCATCAATTACTATAAATATTAGTAAGGTTGAGTATTTATTTTTTAACTATTTTAAAGCAAGAGCAGTCGTTACATTCAAAACAATAGAAATGGTGAATAGCATATTTGAACTCAAGGATTCTATTTATAGAAGAATTATCATAGTATCCTGTTTTGTAAAAATGGGATGCTATTTTACACTGTACTCCACCAATCAAATATACAGCAATAATAGTAATGTTTTAACACAACACATTAAAAACATGGCTAAAAAAAGGCTGCTTTATTCTGAAGACTTGGTATAGATGGTTATGATATTTCAGCAAATCTCAGTTCTAGACAAGATCTCACAAAGCCATTAATAATTTGTGAATGTTCCTTTCATCCACTCCAACTGGCGTAGATGTAGTATTTGGCAGGGTAAGCTATTTTAGAGGGAGAATTATTATTATTATTATTATTATTATTATTATTATTATTATTATTATTTCAAAAATAAATAAATGATGCACTTTTTTGCATGAAAGAATCAATTATTTACATTTGTTAATTTGTTTCCAAAGACTTCAGAGTTCTTAGAGAGAGTTTTAACTATTATTAGCCTGTGTTCTATTCATTTATAATTGGCAGATAAAGGTATCAGATGGTTGTACCTTAATCTGCAGCACAATCATCTGTCATGGTCTTTTTCATTAATATATATATTTTTTTCATTTCAAGGTATGATTTGCAGCTTTTGTCAGAGGTCTCATCACTCTCAGTCTGAATTTTAGAAAATAGCAACATTTTTAAGAGAAACCACTAAGAAACCAAGCTCACTTCCCATAGCAAAGTTTTGTAGACACCAGTCCATTCCTCAACAGCAGAGAATAAATCTGTCAACAGACTAGCAAAGGTACTTTGACGACGCACTTAAAGAAATATTTTATTTTTTTAATTAGGAATTGATTTGTTATATAGTGCACATGATTAGTCACTCATTATTGCTTTGGTGCTATTTTTGAGCATAATTATTATTAATCTCATTAAAGTGTTGGCAGTGTATTTGTAATTTGCTCATAACCCCCCCCCTTTTTTTTTTAACATTCTTATAGTTTCCATCATGGTGGTCTGATACCAAGGTGTTGGCCCTATATCTGAATGGTGTTTAAAAACCTGCACATAACCACCAACTGTTGCCAAACAATAGAATGTTACTGATATACTGTACAGTGAAAGTAGCATTGGTTATATACAATAGTGACATCAATTTTACTTTAAAGTGGTTCCGTCTAAGATAAATACTGGTTACAAGTGAAGGTAAATTTTGTGATACCAAGTTGCTAGGACTGTACCATTTTACATGTTAGGAAGGAGAATATTGAGGGAATATTCTCCTCAAATTTGTTCTACCTTATTTCCACTTTTACTATTGTTTTAAATTATTGTTGCTGTCTCTTTAAAATGTATTGTTTATTACCGACTTCCCCAAATTGCTGTCCTCCGGGTTTCTTAAGTTTCTTCAACAAAACTTGTACATCATTTTAATTGCATATTACTTCAGAAAAGTAAGTCATATTTTATAAATGAATAAATATTACAGTTCAAAAGTAACTTGCATGACCTTTATGAAAACTGCTTACAGTGAAGGGTTTTTTTCTTCATTACAGAACGTAATGTGTACAGGATTGCAATTGTTAATTACACACAGTTGTACTGACAGCAGACTATTTTGGGGTGATCAAAGGTTATATAATGAAAGTTTCTGTTTTAAAGTTGGGTAAATTACTAAACCAGCCAGTTTTGATTTTCTCCCACAGCTCCTTCTTTATCATAACTTTTGCATGGCAACATTTGTTTAGTAGGAGAGAAAAATAGATATTATACAGATACAGATGTGTATTTAATCAGTGCATAAGCAGACTCAGATTCATCTGGCTTTCCCAGCCCCCACTCCTCGTGCTTCCGCATTTGAGACAGTGCATTCACATCCAGAACAAAATTAGCTCTTCTACTTCCTTTCTTTCTGTGTTGACACATTAATTTAGTTCATGAGGAAAAGATCCAGTGGAGTGAATGTATCTTGGTTGAGCAGAATAAACTGAATAAATTAAAGCTATCTGAACTAAGTATATGAAGGGCTGACCAGAATGAAAATTACACTCCTTCAAAAGTTTTTTTAATCTTATTTTAACCTTGTAAGCTGCCATTTTATGAAAGAAAAAATCAGAACACAGTGGTAGAACCATAGAGTTGGAAGGACCATTTACATAATGTAGTTTAATGTCTGCTCAGTACAGAAATCCAAATTAAACCATCCCTACCGATGGCTTTAATTTCATGCTTCTATAGAATTAGATTCTATATAATATAGATAGGTAGAATGCTATTATATTTATAACGTTTGTATAAAACATGCTTTTGGGAAAAGTGACTTTCTTTTGAACCTCAGCTGAAAGTTCATGTAAGCAACGCAATGTGGACATATTGCTATAATATGGGGAGGTAAGCCAAGCCGTGAAAACATCAGATAATCTTTTAGTTGGGAACAGTTGCAGCAGAAGGAAGGAGCCTCCTGCCACTTGTAATCTTTTAGTTAGTTTTGCAGATATTGAATTAAAAGTTACTTTTTAATGAACTCAGTGGTACTTGTGAGGAAATATTACAATATTAAGTTAAGTAAATGTGTTTTTATAAATTTTAACTGTATATTTACTTATTGTTTTGGTGTGCTGTGGGCCACCCAGGGTCCCCCACTGGGGGGAGATGGGCGGGGATAAGTTTGATAAATTAATTAATTAATTAAGTCATGAGATTATGTTCCTAAATATCAATTTTAGCTGGCTTTATGTTTAGTTAATCTTCTCTATTAGAGACAATATAACTTTTCTTACTATCTTCCGTTAATCAAAATTATTTCCCCCATATTTTTAGTTATAAGTGAAGTATAATTATGATATTAATTAATCCCAGTTGGCAATTATTTTACATGTGTCGTACCTTCACAGCACTTTTTCTATATACCTATCCTATACAGGACAACACTGTTTCTTTCAGTGTTGTCTTTCATTAAGAACTGAACAGATTTCTTAAGGTTATGGTTTTATGGTGGTTTCAAGCTAATATTCACCAAGTGGTCATAAAAATATAGAAAGCCTGATTAGTCTCTGGGACTCACAGATTTTTACTTTTACGCGCTAGAAACACAGTAATTCATTGATGGTACATGTAATGCCATTTAGTAAATCTTTTATATTTTGAAGAGTGCAAAAAGAGCAGAGGGTGTGTGAGGGAGGGTCGGGAGGGTGCATAGGGTTGTGTGAGAGGCACCACAGAGATCGGGGAGGGTGCACAAGAAGCGCCATGTGGGTTGGGGAGGGTGCACAAGGATATGAGAGGTGCTGCATGGGTCAGGGAGGGTGCATAGGGGTGCGGTGCAAGCCAGGGAGGGTGTGTGGGGGTGACCAAGTGGCTGGTGCAGCATGAGCGCAGAGAGGCTGGGGGAAGGTACGTGAATGGGGAAGGCTTACCCCAGCGATTTACAAACTTCCCTGCAGGCTTCCCCTTTGACTTCCTGAGAAAACTGGCATGGAAGATTGCAGATGGCAATCATGTGATCGTGGGGCGCTTGGCAACCAGTCATAAGTGCAGACGAGTTGCCAAGTGCCCAGATCATGATCACAGGACCGCAAGAGTGCTGGCACAGCCGGAACTCGGAGGACCGGTCATAACCACCATTCATTCAGTGCCATTGTAACTTCAAATGGTTGCTGAATGAATGGTCGTAAATTGAGGACTACCTATGCATCCTAATCACAGGTTAGTAGAGATTTCCTCCTGATTTCACTGAAACTACCTTCACATTCTCTGGGTTAGTAGGAAGTCTCCGTTTCCCATAAATGGGTTTCAGTTCAAATTGGCACTCAGATACCAAGATAAGCATAGGAAGTGACTCATCCAGGCATTATCAGTTTGCTTTCCTCTGATGTCACCTGTCCCAGAGGGAAGCATAAGGCTACATTTATTCCTTAAATGAAAAGCCAGAGCACATGACTACATAGCTCTTTATTTGTGATTGCAAAATGTCTTACTTGCTTTTACATTGGGTGCTATTCTGTATGTATGAGCTCAAACAGTTGTTAGAGTAGTAACAGCTGCATAGAACTCAGGGTCACTAAAAGCCCAGCTGCCCTTGATCTAAAGGCTCCCTGTTACCCTGTAACAGCTATTGAAGACTTGCCTTCCTGCACAAGCAAGTAGAAGTTTGGCTGGGGAGTTCTCCTGAGGAGAGGGAAGAGGCAGAAGAGAGAGGAGTAAAAGAAAGGGAATTGAGTGATAGCTGCTGATTGTTTTCTGAATACTGCTGCTGTTTTGCAAATACTGCTGATGGATTACTGTATGCGACTGGAGTATTGCCATTGACTGATGGATAGATTAAGGGCTATCAACTCAATGACATCTCTTAGCAACTACATATTCTCTCTAGGATTATCGGTCTTCCACCTGGCCTTTTAGATCTCTCATTCCTTACTGTCATAAGTCCATCCACCTTGCTGCTAGTCACTTTCTTCTTCTCTTTCCCTCAACTTTTCCCAGCCTTATGGACTTCTCAAGGGAGCTGAATAATTATAATCTTTGTAGGTGTAGACACATCACGGCATGTGAATATCCTTTCCAAGGGCTTCATTGCTACCCTACCAATGCTGGTCTGCAGTATATTCTTGACTGCTGGATCCTTTACTGTTGATGGTTGATGGATCATAAAAGGCAAAAGCTATTTACCATCCTGAGTATCACTTCAATGTCCTACCACTTCAGTATCTTATTGGAGGACATATAAAGGACTTATAAGGAAGCCAGCTCACCAGAGAGCAAGCTCACTGAGAGAGATTACAGAGAGAGCAAAAGAAGTTGAGGGAAGCATGTCTATTTTTATTTGTTGTTCACCAGAGAAACATGGAGAAGGAAGAAATTACTCTTATTACCTCCAGGGGATGTGCCATGTGTGTTTTTCTTCCTGTAGATGACAAGATGCAGGAATTGCAAGCTGATTGCCCTTTGGAAGTGAAGATGGGGGAATTAGAGACAAACCTATCCACCCTTTAGACTGTCAGGAAATATGAGGAATTCTTGAATCAGACACTGAAAGTGCTTGCAGACAATAGCACTAAGAAGCCTCCAAGAAGATAAAAGATGTGAATTTTAGTTCTCACAGTGAAAAACAACATAATAGCAAACCTGATTATTGCAAAAACAAAGGACAAATGGAAACCAGTCCTCCTGCACAAAATTGGGGGCCAGGGAAAAGTTTGAATTGTATGTATGTGTACATATAAAACAGATCACTAGAATTCTTTGATCAATAGTTCTTGGATATTTGTGAGTGTGCTTATGTGGTTCCAGTTCTGCCTGTGGGTGAAGTCTGACATAAGCCAAGCAGAGGGAGCAGAGATGGAACAGCGTGAGACAAAACCTAAAGTTTTGCAAAAAGAATTCTTATATGCTGGAGTCTCAGAAAAGATTCCAAGAGCCCACTGTTTCTGATCCCTGGATGAAGAGCAGCTGCCACAAGCTTCAGGAAATGAAGAAGAAGATTCTACAGGTTCTGTAAAGGAAAGGATTCCCTCCTCTGTTCTGAAAAGGAAGAAGCAACAGATGTTGATGATTGAAGACGCACTACTAAAAGGGCTTGGCAGTCTCTCAAGAGACTGTTCTGCTTTCCCAGGGTACACATTCAGAATGTGATGAAAAAATTCCCAAGATTCTTTAAGCCCTCTGATAAATATCCCTTTTGATTGTGAGAACAAATAACACAAATATGACCTTGAAGATGCTGCAAGGGACCATGAAGTGCTGGACAAGAGGGTGAAGGAGTTAGTACATAGGTAATCTTTTCTTCACTCCTTCCTGCTCAAGTACATGGCCTAGAAAGGCAAGAGAAGGAGTGAACAACTGGCTACAGGGATGGTGCCAACTAAACAGTTTGAGATCTTTGAAAATGGAACATAGTTCGGATATGAGAGATTCCTGGCAAGAGATGGGCTGCACATCATGAGAATTGGAAATAATGTGTTCAGAAGGTGCCTTGCAAATGTGATCCAAGGGACTTTAACCTAAAGCCTGTGGGGAAGGGGGAACAGTGCCCAGAAAATAGCACGATATTGAGCACTGGGGATATGACTATAAGGGGTATGCAGGATGTAGAGGCACCCAATGATGAGCATGTAAATACAGAAAGGGGTAAGTCAGGTTTTGTGACCCAAAGATTCCAGTCTCTCTATATAAATGCACAGAGTTTGGAAACAGGAAAAACTAGAAATCTTGATGCAGGAGGGCAAATATGATTTAGTAGGTATTACTGAAATCTGGTGGTATGAAACCCTTGAGTGGAATGCAAGGACAAAAGTAGTAGGCCAGACAAAATGTGTGTGAAGAAACGGCACACATTTTTTGAGCTCCAAGAATTTGAGCAGGAAGCTCCAGTTGGAGATTTGGGTAAAAATACAAGAAAAGGGAAGCAGAGATATTATTGTGGGATTTTGCATTATCCAGACAGAAGATCCGGACACTGCTGTCCCAGACCAAACAACAGAACTTTCAGGGATGAGGAAAATAGGGAACCTCAACTACCCAAACATTTGTTAGAAATCCAACTCAGTCATGACTGCAAGGCCCCAAGACGTCCTCAGTATTCTTGCAAATGGTTTCATTTTCTAGAAGATTGGTGAAAATATTGTCTTAAAACTGATCCTTACTAGCAGGGAAGAGCTGGCTGAAGAGGTAAAGAAGTGGGAACTTCAGAGGAAGTGACCACATCAATTTGGGGTTCAAGATACTTCCCAAAAATAAATGAGAACATAGTCATACATGCATACTAGATTTCAACAAACTTAGAGAAGGCAGGATCTCACAGATAGAAACCATCAGGCCAGAGAGAAGATAGGAAGGTTGGAAACTTCTCAAAAATAAAATGCTGAAGTAAAATTTCACATCATTTTAATGAGGAAAAAACAGGAGAGAGTTTAGGAAACCATTGTGGTTTTTTTTATTAACCATAGGGAATTTTTTATTGAGTTAACAGTTCAAAGGAGCATGTATAGGAAAAGTAAAATAAGTGCAATCACCAAAGAGAAGTACCAGCAAATAATATTTGCAGAAAAAAAAACATTAAAAAGGCTAAAATACAAAAATGAGTATATTTGCAAGGAAAGCAAAAAGCAACAAAAAGGGTTTTCTGACTGTATCAGTATTAAAAGGAAGCAGTAGGCCTGCTGTTGGGTGATGATGATAGGATAGTAATAAGTGTTGGAGAGAAGGCAGAGTTTTTCAACTCCTGTTTTGCTTTGGTCTCTCCAAAGCAGAACTGAATTCAAATGGATTTTTGGCAGACAGTTGGCAGACAATTGGCAACATGACTGATGGACAGTTGGCAACAGAAGGGAATGGAAACCTAGGATAAGGGAGAATAGGTAGACCTGACCTTGGAAATGGGGAAGCAATTAATAAGCCATTACCATTACCAACTAAGTATTCAGGACCAGATCAAAAATATCTGAAAGTCCTAAAGGAGCTTACTTTGTTCTTTGAGAAATCAAGGAGGACTTAGTGCCAGAGAATCAGATAAGGGTAATTCCTGTCTTCAAAAGGGGAAAATGAAAGGTCAGTTTAATCATCAGTACAGGTACAACTCAAGAAGATGATTAAGCAATATGTTTATAAGGATTTAGAAAATATTGCATCTCTTTGCAGGAACCAGCATGGGTTTATCAAGAATACCAAACCAACCTGGTCTTCTTTTCTGATATAGTGAACAGTTTAATTGATCATGAAAATATGGTGCACATAGTGTATATTGATTTCAGCAAGGTTTATTGTGAGATTCTAGTCAAGAAGATGGCAAAATGCAGGATGGATTATATTGCCATGAGATGGCTACAGAACTGGTTGAACACTTGTACCCAACAACTGTATGTTAGTGATTTGGTGTTAAGCTGGAAGTGTTGAGTGGAACACTACAAGGCTTTGTTCTAGACCCTGCCCTGTTCAACATAGAATATTTATAACTGACTTAGATGAGCATTTGGAAAATATTACAAATGACAAAAATGTAGAGAGGTTAGTAATCACTATAGAGGACAGTATCAAGACTGAGGAGGATGTTAATAAATATGGCAGAAGCCAGCAAGATGAATTTTAGCTGGACAAACACAGACCCCTATTCTGAGTTATAAGAATCAAAGTCATGAGAATAGGAAGCAGGGACATAGTGGACAGCAGTAGATGTAAAAGGGATCTGAGTGACTTGGTGGATCATAAGATGGACATGAGCCAATAGTGTGATGCAGCTGGGAAAAAAAGCACTCGTAGGCTGCATCAGCAGAAGCATAGGGTCAAGATCAGGAGGAATCCTCATTCGTCTCTATTCTGCACTGGCCACACTGTGCCTAGAATATTGTTCTATGCACCACAGTTTAGGAAGGGTATTGTCACTGGAATGTGTCAAAGGGACAGCAATTAAGATGATAAGAGGCCAAAAATAAAGAGTTATGAGTTATGAGAAGAGTTATGAGAAATGGTCAGAAGTTTAAATATGCTTTAAATAAAGAGTTATGAGTTATGAGAAGAGTTATGAGAAACGGTCAGAGATTTAAATATGCTTAGCCTGGGAAAGGAGATATTGCGAAAAATCGTAATAGCTATATTGAAGCATCTGAAAAGCTATCAAGTAGAAGATAAGGTAGGATTATTCATAGTTGAGCCTGAAGGCTGGACAAGAAACAATAGAATTTACAAGGAAATAGAATTGGTTGAACATCAAGAGAAAATTTCTAATAGTATGAGCTGTTCAACTGCCTTGGAAGGTGGTAGACGTGTTCTTCACCAGAGCTATATAAACAAAGGCTGGACGGCCATCTGATATGGTTGCTGTAGTAGTGGGTTTCTGCAGTGGTTAGGGGTTGGACTAGATGATATCCAAGGTCCCATCTAACCTTTACATGCTATGATTCTGTGCCTCAACATCAGTTGAAAAAGGGGGCTTTTTGCAAGTACCAGAAAGGAACTGCAATGATGTCCTTTCCTTTCTATGTTTGTGAGTCTGTATGTTTGTGTGTATGTGTCATTAGTAGAAATGAAAAAGTTAATGAAAAGAAATCCCCTGATTTTACACCCACATCTCTGGCCAGCCCAGTGGTTCTACATCTGGTAAATGCATCCCAGCAGAGTCATTTCTCTACCCAGTGCTAACAAATCAGCTCCTCTTAAATGTATTTGCTCTTACCACTCATACTTTTATCTCATTTATCTCTCAGGAAAAGAAAGAAGAGAGGGAGACATATGTTTTATTTCATGAAATAGTACACAGGACAATAAAAAAGAACTTGTATTAATAGAAAATTGATCTAATCCAGCCCCCCCCCCCCAAGGTCTGAGTTATAGGTGCTATTTAAAGACAGTGGCAATCCTATGCAATCAGCTTTTGGAGAAGTATCTGAGACAATGTGTAAAAAGCACTAATCTATAGATTGCTATCCCACCCCCCACCCCCATTAATATATTTACATTGTTTCCTTTTTTTCAGGTCCAACCATCTGAAATTGCACTTCCCAACCGAATGCATTGTACATTATGGTTCATGTCAACTTGTTTAGAAAATGGATGTTCGGCATTCTGGCCTTTGTTTTGGTTGTGACTGTTTGTCTGTGGAAGGAAACACGGAAAGGAATTTACATCTCCGTAACAACAGAAAGCCAAACTGATAATCTGCAAGTGAAGCTGTGGAAATGGATTTCGATGAAACCAAGAATGGACCAGAATAAAACTGTCAATGGCACAAGCAAAGTCACTTTGTCCAGCAAAGAATCCCAGGCTAAAGTTAATAATACTGAACCTAAACCCAATGAAATCAAAGTCTGGAACAAAGATAGTTCCTCCCAAGGTCTTCACCCTAGGCTCCAAATGGCAAGAAAGAATTACTTAAAAATGAACAAATATCATGTGAAATACACTGGACCGAAGTATACTGCTAAACTCAGCCCAGAACAAGTGTTGTGCCAGCTTCGGAAAAAACTAGACTTTAGGATGATAACTGCATCTGATGGCCCCTTTAATACAACTGAATGGGAGACATACTTGCCTAAGAAAAATATCAGCATGGAACTGGGCAAGCTAGGTCGATGTGCAGTTGTATCCTCTGCAGGATCTATGAAGCAGTCACATTTGGGGGCAGAAATAGGTTTGCATTTGCATTTTTTTTCTGTTACAACAAAAGCATCTAAATATGATTAAAACATTTTGCTGTTGAGTTTTCCATGTTATGGGGCAGGAAATGCTAGTTTATCCTGAACTAATTTGTGGAATCCAAATATCTGGAGGGCACCAGCTTGGGCAAGGCTTGAAAATCCAGCTGGAAACCACAACCAGTTTTCCCTGCTATCTATCTTATGCAGATTGAGGTTCAGTTGGTGGTTCCTCATTCACTCCAGTAATTGCAATTAATCAGAATCATGTTGTCCCTTTCAAGAGAGGTAGCTGCAGGTATTGGATAAAACCATCTGTGTCAGATTCTACAGCTTAGTTAAAGGAGTGGTTTTTTTGTATAGACATAATGCTCTTGAGTTTTCAGTTATCTTTCCCTGCAGAAATTATTTTTTCAAAGGCTAAATATTAATGTAGGAGCAGATCAACATACAGTAGCTATAAGGCTGTGGTATAATTTTTTCAAATACAGGACAAAAACTTTGAGATGAAATTGAAACTTTTTTGTTCCTAGCTTTTTCTGTACAGGAGGGTTTTCTGTTTAGGAGGGTGTCATGGCTAAACTACCAAACCTTTGAGGACTTTGGTGGATTTTGCTCTGAGATGCAATCAGTTCATGTTTTCTGTTTCTTTCAGACAGCCATGACGCAGTCCTGCGGTTTAATGGGGCCCCTACAAAGGGGTTTCAGGTGGATGTTGGTGAGAAAACTACATTACGTCTTGTTAATTCTCAGGTAGGTCTGGTATGGAACGAGAGAAGAGGGAGAATTTGGGAGGTTTTCAGAAGGGCTCTTTCTGTTGCTCAACCTCTTTGGATCTGCAAATATAGTGGCAAAAATTAGAATTTTTCTCTTTGCATAGAAACAGAGCAACTGAACCTAACTAATCACCCTAAATTGCTATACATTAAATGTGTATTTTCCTTGTTTTAAAGCACTTGTTAAAGCACCACCTGAAGGTGTTTGGTTTTGCTTTACTCCTCTCCTTGAGAGATACACAGCTCATGGTCTAGAGGATACATAAAACCTACCAAAGATCCTCCAAATGTTCTCACCCAACTGTCATTTTTAATAGCACAGAATAAGAAAATTGTTAAATATATGCAGAATAATTGTGTTTATACAGGTAGTCCTCGGGATGTCCATTTGTTCAATGATTGTTCAAAGTTATGACATCACTGAAAAAAATGGACTTATGACTGATCCTCACACTTACAACCATTGCAGTGTCCCCGTGGTCACATTATCAAAATTTGAGTGCTTGGCAATTGGGCCGCATTTACACATTTATGACCATCACAGCCAAGCACCTGACAGCCAGGGAGGCAGTGGCAAAGGGCAGAAGAATACAGTGGTGTCTTCATCTCAGCCATCCTGTGCAGGGCAGCCAAAAGGGCAGAGATGGAGGAGAGATATGTGGGTGTCCCATCTGAGCCGCCCTCTAGGGTGGCAATGGTGGAGAAGGAAAACCTCACAGATTCCCCCCTCCAGGGCTGTGCCTACCATTGCCTGTGCACGATGGAGCCGGTGCTGCTGCTGGCCATGCTGGCATTTGGCTTGCAAAACCTGCTCTGCACCCAGTTCCTCTGGGACCACCTTGGCATGGGCACCAGCAACAGCCCTGGAGGTGGCAGTGGCTGTCCCAGTGACACCAGTTCCAGGTGGCAGGTGTGTGCGCGCATTGCTTTTTTCGTTAGTGTGCTCCCCACCTTGCTGCCTCTTCTTCTCTACCATGGCCTGCAGTGCTTGCAAGGTGGGGAGCCATGCCTCTTCCTGCTCCCAGATCTGCAAGGGTAGACTGCCCCTGTTCTTGCCTGCAGAACCACAAAGAGGATAAAGAAAGGTCAGGTGAGGGAGGTGGTTGGGTCCTGGAGCTGGTACCGTTTCTGCATCCAGTGCAATGTTGGGCCCTTCCCACCCTGGCTGGCTGTGTGAGTGGGGGAGGAAGCAGCCAAGAAATGGCTTTTTCCCAAGCTGTGCCTGCCAGTTACTCCAAGGACAGCCCCGTGGGTTGGACACTTTCTGCTGCTTCTGCTAAAAGGATTTCTAGGCTGCTGGGGGCAGTGGCAGCAAAATACAACAGCCTCTTCTCAGCCATGCTGCACAGGGCAGCCAAAAGAGCAAAGATGGGGGGAGATAGACAGATGGGGGGAAAGGGAGACAGTTCACACAGAGCAGGATAAGCATGAGGTCCTCACCTAATTACCATGTGGTCCTTGCTTAATGACCGCAACTGGGACTGCCAGGACTGCTGTTGCTAAATGTCACGGTCACATGATGTTTCGCATAGCAACTGAAATGCCAGTCCCAATTTGGGTCGTAACCCAAGGACTACCTGTATTACTTTTATTAAATGTTAATTGAATGTTATTAAGTCAAATTTAGCTTTTGTCCAGATCATATCTATTTCTGTCTTAGGCCTGCCAGCTTTTTTATAGTGCTGCTCCTGAAATCAAGGACCATAGTCCAAAAATAGATGTGCAGTTTGTGCTAAACTAATAGAATACCAAAATATGTCTCCCCGTTTCCAGAAAGTTTTCTTTACTTCTTTATATCATTATCAGGGTGCTTTTGAATATTTTCAGAATTCCTTCTGGTGATGTTTTGCAAGTTATTCTAACATTCTATTTTATTTTATTAAAGGAAGAGAGTGCAGTAATTTATTCTCTGTTACGAATCTTTATATAAATGTGCTCATGCTTCCTGATTAAAAATGCCCCATGAGAGAGTTCCCTTCTCATGTTTTCCCTCGGGGCTTAATTGAAGCACAGGGATCCAGAAAAGCTGCAGAGCCCTAGAAATAGGATTCTGTGATAAAAGGGAGGAGCTGCACACACACCTGTCATTACTGCAAAGACTGCCAAGCCTCATGAGAATTAACTGAAATTTTCTGTTTCCTTAAAAAAATTGAAAGCAATTTGAGTGAAAGAATTATCAAAAGAAATGCAGGTGTAATTAAAGGCAAAACACTATTTTAAGCTAATCAGACTTAGCTGTGCAATCCTGTTAGCTGGAAACTTTTAGACACTTAACATATTCTGTAATAAATAACATCAGTGCAGCTTCTTATTTATATTGCAGGAATCCAAACCATAAAGCAACCAAGAGATACAGCTTTGATTCAAAATGCATCTTTGACTCAAAGTACATTTATTACCAGAAAGTGCTTTGTGTATGATTTTGAGGATGTGTTAGGAAGTAACACAGGAATTTTTACTGGAACTTCTGTACATGTGTGTGTGTGTGGGTGTGTATGTGTATGTGTGTGTTAAGCCTCCACAATTACAGTTGTGACATACAAAGTACATACTATTATTAGCCTGTGGAGAAAAAATATCTTTAATGCTGATAAGCTGATGCCAATGATGGGAAAGAGCTTCACTGGGATTGTACAATCCCCATGAAAATTATTCTCCCCCTTCTCTGTGGTTAAAAAAAAATAAAATAACAATACTAATATTCTGCCTGAAAGATGTAAGTGGGAACAGTCCTTAAAATGGGCTTCAGAACAGTACAGTATGATCCTGCATGTGTTTACTTAGAATTAAGCCCTAATTGTATTATCAGTCAGTGATGCAGCATCTCTATCTGGAGTTGAAAGAGAATAGTTGCAGGGCTGTGTGTGGGTTTCTGAGTTACCTGCTGAAAAAGAAGAATGAAGTTACTCTGGAAAAAGATTTAAAGGAGTCAGTTTGTAAAGATAAGTTATGGACATCAGAAGTACTTGTACACTACATTGAGTGCAATCTGTAAAACTGCTCAGTCTGGCTGGTGATGACAGAAATTGTACTCCACCATTCTGGGAAGTGCAAATTGGGGAAGGCTATTTTAATTACATAAACAAGTGCATTCCTGATTTTATGATAGTTTAAAATTGTTGTAGAGTGATAAAAGGAAAGAATGAGAACAGATACAAATATCATGATGAGTTAAGCCTGGATTCTATTTCACATTCCAAGGCTGGATGTTTTTAAATGGGTCCATTTTTTAAATGATTCAGTCAGTCTTCAGCAAAGTTAAACTTAAAAATCTAATTTAGTCAAAAAGAAGAATTCATATTCTCTGCAGCATATCTGCAGTTCATAACAACCTATTATTTTTTTATGTTTTTACACTTAGTTTGTGACCACAATTCCAGTTTGCATATTTGAATAGTAGCCTTCTTCAGTGTGGTAGCCCTCCAGAAATACTGCACTGCAATTCTTAAAACTTCTAGCGAGTTTCAGAGAATTGTAGTCTAATATGTCTGGAGGGCACCAGGTTGGAGAAGACTACTCAAGAGATTCCATACTCATTGCAGCTGACTCCATCAAACAACATAATTGACTAGTACAGCTGGAATGCATGAATCCCTCTGCCTATGATGAATGCAATATGATGATGGAAATGGAGCCACTGAAAATCATTCCTTATAAATACAGCTCTGAAGTTTTCCTGAGCATATGGAGATAATTATATATATTTAGAAGCGGTAGAAGTTAAATTAATGGTGAAAATTAGTTAATGTGCTAAAGTTGGCTGGCCAACAGGAATACTGTATTATTAGTTAATTGATGTGATAGTTTATACTGAACAAATAAAGGAAACAATTAAGTGAGAATCAACAAGGGAATGAGAAACCAAGCAGTTAAATAGATAACAAAGCAAGCAGTTCATTACAATCAACACAAGGCGGAATTACTAAATGTGGATTTGTAACAGTTAAATGTAGCTCAAAAAGGCACTGAGACAGAGATCTGAAGTTGTAATTCTGATGCCTTGTGCTTAGCTAAAAATAGCCAGAAATATGTGGTGACAGGATATTAATGAGGTAGCTGAGTTAACAGATAAGGACTTCATTAAAGCAAGTTCGTTATAAACTGCCTTATCCCTGCAGTTCACAGAGCCCAGGGAAGTAAACAAGACATGCTCTCAGTCCTTGTTTTTACCGGTGGCCTGCTGCCTCAGTTGAATGTCAATGTCCCAGAGGCTATGGTGATTGACATTCATGTAGAGAACTAATAGGTTTATGAGTAACTTCAGAGTTTTTAAAATGCAACTCAAGAGCCTATATAAACTAAAAATAAAGTTATGATGTATCATTACAACAGAAATAACTGTGATTCTTCACATAGACATTCTCTGTTTGAGACAGCATTCTTTGGAAAACTTAGTGAATGTTTAAATTAGTAAGCAGTTACAGGCACTTGGGAATTAGAGCCTTTGCTGGAGTTTTATTACAGAACTACACAGTAGAAAACTATGGAAAATTGAAAGAGGGAACTCTGACTGATTTTTGCTGCCTATCAGAGTTGGATGCTTGGCATTGTCTAAATAAAAATTAATGCCAACATTCTTCAACTGATGTCACCTGTAGATGTCTTGTATCTTTCTTCATCCTGAGCTTTGCTTATCTGTGTTCCATATCTGGGCAATGATGTTGCATTTACTTGGGTTAGTAGATTCAAACTGCAAAAGTTATTTTTAGGTCTACATCTGCTATTTCTCTGAAATAATCAGATTGGCTCATGGGGATCTCCTACTTCAGTTCTTTTAGCTGTGAATATGGCATCCATTTATATGTTTGTAAGCCATAGTCAACCAGCTCTGCCTGCAGTAGAATACATGTTTCAAATATATTGTATACTCCTACAAATATTGTTCAGTGCTATGGCTGAACTCAAACTCAAAATGATAAAAATATCATAACTGGAGGTACGTGTGTGTACAACATCTCTGAGAAGGCATTTGAAGTGTTCCAATGACTGTTACAGCAAATAAAATGGGGCAAATGTGTGCAAGGGTTCAAGACCATGGGGATGTTGGAAATACATTTCAGATCTTTGCTTAAACATTCAAAATTAGAATTGGACCAAGTCTATATGTATACGTGTGGTTGCTTAATGACTCAAAGAGGTATTCATATTTTCCTCTCCATATTAAGCTGCATGCATTTGCTTACACACTTTTTACTCATAGTATGTGATTTACTATGATTGAAACCCCACTCAGGCAAGAAAATAAAATGTAAAACACATGCAGCAGTAATTTGTCCCCACAAACTGTATTGTCACATAAGTTAAGGGCTGGTTGGTCATGAAAATAAGTGTGTTTGTTTTCTTCAGAGGTTCTTACTTGTGGCACTGTACATACAAGATCTTCCATGCTATCCCAGGTCCTACACACAGAAGTTCTGTAATGCATCTAGAGAGCATCAGGTTGGAGAATTGTCCAAATAAAACCATGACACCTGCCTCCTTAAGTTAGCTTTCCACAACCTCAGATACATGCACTTCAACTTTCAGAATTGTAACTAGAGAATTCTAGGAATTGGATTACATATACAGGGAGAACATTCAGGTTGGGGATAGGTGTCCCAGGCTTTTCAATTGGGGAAGAATGCATTGATCTCCATCTCTTTTTCCATTTCTAGCTTATTACTGTTGAAGAAAAGAAGTTTATTACAGATGTACAGTATAACTTTGGAACCATTATTGTGTGGGATCCATCACCATATCATGCAAATATTGATGAGGTAAGTTTCATTGGTGTACATTATACAGGATGTCCAGAAACATTGGTGGTAGCCATGTGTAGTTGCATGGATAGACCCATATTTCATATATTACTCCTTTCAGCAATTCATACCTAGATGTTTGTCCTGAAGCTGAGCCTTAAATTTTGTGCCGAATAATGAAAAGATAACAGCAAGAAAGTAATCACTATATATGATATAGCTATGGTGCTATATTATCATTTTGCTAGTAGGCACTATTAACAGGAACCTAATACTTTGCTCCAAAGGAGAATTTTTAAAGAGGGACTGCAACCCCACCCCTCTTTAGGCCTGATTTTGCTTTCAGCACTGTCAGTAAACTAATTTGTGCTTCAGTGAAATGTTTCCCAGTCTCCAGTTTAAATGAACCCCTTTTAGAGCTTTTTTTTAATACAGCCCTACTATCAGCACCACACAAAATATTCCTGCTTGGGAGATTGATTACAGCCACTTAATTGGTAACAGAAGTTTATAGGCTTTCAAATAAAGCTATTCCCATAAGTCTGAGTATTGCTGGTGCCATAGACACACAATAGCAAAACACGGTATAAACATAGTTACAGCATCTCTGTTCCTCCCAAAAGCACAATGACTGGAAGTAAGGAGCAGAATCTGCTTCATTTGAATTCTTTTCACTGTATTCAGTTTCATTTGGATGTTTTATTTTGTGCTTTGTAACAGATTCTATTTTGTAACTTTTTTTGCTTTTTGAATTTAACATATCTATAACCACAAGAGAGAGCTCTTGTACAAGGAACTATTGCTTGAGACTTATCTTCATTTTTTGGGCAAGGGTTGTTTATTCTATTCACCTGGGCAGGAGATCCAAAGACATTGGGACTGGTAAAAATAGATTAAAATTCTATTACATTTTGCATTTATTCAGGCATATAGTATTTTGTATTTTATTGTGTAACATTGCTGTAACAAGAGGGAGCTCCTATATACAGAACAATTTCTTGAGATTGTTATTCAAACAATTTATATCAATATGTTTTTGTTATAAAATTTGCAATACTTTTAAGAGCTTTCTTTATTCTTCTTATACTACAGCATATAAATATTTATATAATATTTAAGGAATTTATGAATGAATGTTATTAGATTTAATAACTTACCTGTAACAGTTTAGTATTCATCTTTGAATCTGTTTAATGAAAAGGCATTTTAAGAGCAAAACTATCACTTACTTGCTAGAAATGAGCAAAAAAAGACAGAGCAAGGATGAAAACTTGTCAAGAATGGGAAGAAGCTGGCTCCAACAAGAAGCTGGCTCCTTTAGTAGTGTTTCAAACATTAAAGATTTGCTCATAAGCGACTTGAGTAAGCTTCAACAATTGGATAAAAAAATTAAAGTTTCAAAAGATAACATAAATTGATCCAACAAAACCAACAAGATTTAGAAGCAAAATTGGATTCCTTTAAAAGTGATATTAATGATAAATATGATAAATTAATGATTAAAAGAACAACCTAATAAAGATATCAAAGATATCCAAACAGTACAATAATTATTCTCAAATCAAAGAATTCAAAGGTCAGAGATGAAGAAGCTGGAAGTTAGGTTACAAATAATAGAAACAGAACTGCATAAAAATAAAGTTGAGAGGAATTTCTGAACATTTCAGAAGAGAAGACTTAGAAATAGAAATGGAGAATATACTCAAAGAATATCTTGACCTAGATGAGAATGAATCATTATAAATTCAAGAAGTGTATAGAATAATTTCACGGACAGCACAAAAAAGAAAGTTGCTACATGGTATATCTATCAGATTCACATGTCTTAAGATGAAGTATGCAGTACTATAACAGAAAAGTGTGATATTCCTTTAAAACTCACAATATTTGAGATTTTACCAGACATTCCTCTGAACGTGCTTAGAAAGAGAAGAGATTTGAGGTTTTTGACATCTGCTTTCCAAGAAAGATCAGATATGTGCTATTCCATTTTACCTAGAGATCTTTATGGATGGTGGTAAAGTCTTAGTATAAATAGAGGATTCCAGTAGAATGCTCAGGTCATTGGCAGTTACAGAATAAGTTAAAAAAGACTTAAAACAGGCAGAAGATTTAAAAAATGGACCAAGTGACTTCTCGTTCTTCATAAGCTAACCTGATAACTATCATCATGGAGCGAATATTGTTAACTAATATTAATGGACTGAATAGTCCATTCCAACAGAAAAAATATTTTTGAATTTAAAAAGGAAATGTACATATTTCCATGTCTCCAGTCGGTTATATTAAAAACACAGTGTTAATCTGATAGAAAATAAATGATTCAACCAAACATTTGTGGCCTTGGGCAAATTAAAAAAAATAGAGTAGTCATATATGTTAGAAATTGATCATGGAGTCTGGAAAAACAACTTCAAGATGAAGAAGGGAGATATAATTTATTACAATTTCAGACTGAACATGGGGGGAAAAAACCAATTACTTTAATTTATGTTTGAAATGATAATAAAATGTGTTATTTTTTTTTCCCAAACCATTTCTTGAAATTGCAGGAAGAGTTTTTTGGGTGTTTTCCTTAAACCTTGATAACTCTAAAAATATTCTGGGGAACTCCCCAAAATGTTTCAAATTATATGTTACTACTTTCCCCTTCAGATGCATGGAGACACAAATGAGAGAAAGAACATACTTATTCTGTTCATAAAGATCTACTCAAGAATAAACATGTGTTGGGTCTTATTAACTAAACTAATAGATCTGGAAGTCCTAGCTCTTACTTATGCAGATCATAATCCAATAATTGTACATTTACATGGAGGAGCTGCTGGACTAAAAAGGTGGAGACTTAACAATGTATTACTACTGCACACAATATTAAACTTAAGTGTCAACATGAACTAAAGAACTTCTTCCAAACCATTTTTTGGGGGGGAGGGGAATCGACATATGGGCTTCTAGTAAAGCATTTATGAGAAGATTATTTATTTCTTTATCATCCAACAGAAAGAAAGCAATATAAAAACAATAGACACGTTGATAAACGAATGAATGAAAGCAAATAGAGTGAAAATACAAGTAGAACTCACTCCTGGATTTAGAACAAAAGATTAAAGTGATCTGTAATCAGCTGGACCTAACAGAAATCAATGAAAGTTACAAGAAGATGAATTTTGCTAAACAGAAATATTTTGAAAAGAGTAGTTGTGATGAAGGGAAAACTCCAGCCTCCTAGTGAGTAAGCCATATCAAGGAATGGGTGTTTGCGGACTTAGAACCTGCTTAATATTAAGACTACTCTGATGAAGGAGTAGGTGTGAAATCTGGAGAAGAAGGTTGAGGGAGAGGGAGAGGTCAATAGAGAAAAACCTAGAGACAAGGCACCTGCTGATCTGGCCTATATCAACTCATTCCCCTACCCTTCTATGCTGCCTGGCCTTGATGAAACAAAAGGCCCAGGCAGAGAAGAGAGCTAGTTCCTCATGCTAGAAAGTCTTTCTTAAGAGGGAAATGAGGGAGCCAGACACTACACAAGTGCGGAGTTGCTTCTAGACACCCAGCTGAAGCTAGAAGGCTTATTGCTGCTGCCACAGCAGTTTGCCTTCTTGGTTACACATTGTATTTTGAATGTTATTTTGAAGTCTTAGTTTGGACTGCCTAGACGCCAAAGAGTCAGATTTTGATTTCAAATGCTATCCTTGAATGCATTTGGAGATAGTAGCTCTTCATACAAGAATGAATACTAGCTATATCTTTATTGTAGGGTTGCATTGACAGAATCTTGTAAGTCTGAAAGTACCTCTCCCCTCCCTTACTAGAGGGACTAAAGATTCCAGGCAGAAAGGGAAAGCGGGGGGGGGGGGGGGGAGTAAGCCTGTCTTTTTTCTTTGGTCAGCCTTGACAGAAAACACTGACATTTGAAATACTTCAGGAGATTTTGAAGAATGGGATCAAAAAAGAGCTTCAATCTCAGCAGTGATGGATACTTCTATGAACAGATTATGTCCTAAAGATATTAAAGAAGAAATTACTGATGCAAAAGAGAACATCTTGGAAGATTTACAGAATAAAGAGATGAAACAAATTTTGTCTAATGCAGAAATATCAGAACATAAAGAATTTGCAGAAGTACTGGAAAATAAGAAAAATTATGTACTAAATAAAGAAAACAACTAAAGTGGAAGTACAAATGCCAAGCCAAGAAATTGACCTGGATAAGGACTTTTTACTGGACATACAAAAGTTGGTTAAAACCTTGAAAAAACCTTCGAGATGGGAAAAAGAAAAATGGAAGGGAGATCAAATCCTATAACAGCATCTGAATGAACTAAAGATTAAGATTGTTAAAAGCAAAAGGAAGGAGTACAAAGTTGGTTTGCTTGATCAAGGTTAAAATAGAATATGTTTGTATAAATCTGGGATCCCTTTATGGACTTTTTGTTGACACCAGAACTGAAAAGTTGATGATTTATGTATTTGCATAAGGGCTATGGGAAGAAGAGATACTTGCATGTAATGTGATATATAAGTACTATTAAGCTTGTTTGTACTTGTGATGAAGATTGGAAGCTACTTCTTTATATTTCTATTTTCTTTTTCTTTTCTCCTTTTTTTCTGTATGCCCTTTATTCTTTTTTTTTTTTACTTTCCCTTCTTTTTGAGTTTAGTTTGTATTTTCTTTTACTATTGTTATTAAAACTTTCAATAAAAATTATTTTTAAAAAAGGATCATATCTCCAAAGAGGAGCTTTGCAACTCATTTTTATTTCTGGTTTCAGTGGTTTCGGAAACCCGACTATTATTTCTTTGAAAGCTACAAGCATTATCGGAAAAGACATCCCAAGCAGCCTTTTTATATCCTGAATCCATTCATGCAGTGGCAACTCTGGGATATCCTCCAGGAGAATTCACCAGAGGATATTCAGCCAAATCCACCTTCTTCTGGCATGCTTGGTAAGTCTTTGGTTTCTCCTTTCAACCTGTATTACAGAAATACAGTACAAAGCTGATCATGGGTGACTGCTAGTATATAAAACATGGGAGCAGACTCTGGTGCCCATCAAGTTGGGAATTAAAAACAAGGCCATCAGAAATTATGATTATGTGCCATCAAGTTGTTGACTCTTAGTGACCACATAGATAGATTTTTCTCCATGACAATGTGACCCTAACATGGTCTTTCAAGTCTTCCAACAGTGCACTCATCGCCATTTTAACTGAGTCCAACCACCTTGCTGCTGGTCATCCTCTTCTTTCTCCTTACACCTTTCCCAGCATTAGAGACTTCTCCAGAATATATAGTTCTTCGTATAATGTGTCCAAAGAAAGATAATTTGAGCCTTTGTGCCTTAAATGAGAACGCTGGGTTGATTTGTTCAAAGATCCATTGTTTTGTTTTTATTTTTGGCTTTCCACAATATTCCCAGGATTCTTCTCCAAAACTAAAGTTCAAAAGTGTCAATACTCTTCCTATCCTGTTTCTTCAAAGTCCAACTTTTGCTTCCATAGAGTGTCACAGGGAATACCATCCAATACTCTTCCTATCCTGTTTCTTCAAAGTCCAACTTTTGCTTCCATAGAGTGTCACAGGGAATACCATCCAATACTCTTCCTATCCTGTTTCTTCAAAGTCCAACTTTTGCTTCCATAGAGTGTCACAGGGAATACCATCACTTGCATGATTCTGATCTTTTCCAAAAATTAAGGAACTCAATTTTGCATACCTCAACCTCTGCAAGTTTAAGATGGACTTCAACTCCCAGAATTCCCCAGCCAGCATGCCGATACACACACACACACACACACACACACGGAAGATAACAGCATTCTGCACAAAACTAACATAACATAACAAATGCTGTTTAATCTTCATGCACATATTTAGCAACAAAATAGAATCAACTTTAAACATCACACCAGTTTGACTCCTGCTGCAGAACAGACGGGAGAACTACCTTCCAAATTAGTTTATGTCCCAGCCTGCTTTTTCATTCCAAAAGGAAAGTGGGGTTTTTTTTTGTTGTTACAGCCTGTTGTTAAGTGCATTCTGGAAAAATCTCAGATTTATGATCTGGCTGATGTGAAGATCAAGAGAGAATGATTTCACCACTTAGAGTTTCTGAAATGGCCCTTGTGAATATTCACTCTCTGACAGATTGGATTAAATAAGATTGGACTAGATTGATATTTTTAAATGTGTTACCAGCACTTATAATCTTACACATCTGGTGGACACCAAGTTAGGAAAAAAATGGTATGGAATCCTTTAAGTTTTCTATCATTAGAATTTCTGGGCAAAAGAAGAGTTCTTTCTTTTCTTTGTTTTGCTTTGTGTTATTATTAATATATTTTCTGTTAAATTGTTTCTTTACCATGCCTGAAAAATTATCTCTTTTTCTCTTCTCTAGGCATTGTTCTTATGATGAACTTTTGTGATGAAGTGGATGTTTATGAGTTTCTCCCCTCTAAGAGGCAAACAGACATTTGCCATTATTACCAGAAATTCTTTGATCAAGCTTGCACACTGGGTGCCTACCACCCACTGCTCTTTGAAAAAAATATGGTGAAGCACCTTAATCAAGGCACAGATGAAGATATTTACAATTATGGGAAAGTGACTTTACCAGGCTTAAGGAAGGCACAATGTTAGGAGTGTGAAACCCATATTCTGGGTTTGGAAGCCTGTCTTGAATCACAAGGCACTTTAATTTTTGAAAGTAAGGGTTGAAGGGACCTGTCAAGAAATTAACAGGTTATTAACAATGAGCATTTCTTCCATTCAATTTGCCTTAATTCAGGACTGCAACATGTGCCAGAGACATACATCACATTCAGCAGAATGTGTTTCCCAGATGAGTGCCGAGAATGTAATTACCCAACATGATTACAGAAATACAATGATAACTCTGATTCTCAGAAATTCATTGGCTTGTGTCTAATTTTTGTGACTGAATTAAAAAGAAAATGAATGGGCAGTTATTGCTTCAGAGCAGACACCGAAAGCTTCTAGATGAGGCTTCCACATTTTAGAAACAATCCAGTGATGGAGGAACCAGGGTTTCTGTGCCTTGTTATCAGACTTGTGTCTGTTCTGGACTGTTCAGATGCCAATATCAGGATATGATCCAAGAGGACAATATTGTGAGCAAGAATATATGGATTTAGAGAGCCGTTTGTAAGGCCATGGCTCCCGGCAATGAGCTCAAGGCTTTATCAAGACATTTTGCAATCCAAAGTAAAGAACAAGATGGCTTTTCTTTCCATACTTTATCCAAAAGTTAGTCCTCCAGTGCTCTTAAAGGTAGCAGAGTAGTGTAGCAGGCATAGGGTATGCCACTTTCCAACATCTTGCTGCTGCTAGCCATCAGCATTTACTACTGAAGTGATTGTCCCATTCTGTAGGACCAATTCTGGAGAAGTTGAAAAATGCTGCTCCAAATTAGATGTTGCAGATACTATAAATGGTGCCAAATTCTGTTGAATGCCTGATATGCCAAGATACTTCCAATATTACTAAAATAAACCCAGTATTAAAAATTGGGAAGCAATCTATACAAACCTAACTGGATCCATCTTCTCTACATGTAATTAAAGATGGAGCCATGAAAAGTATGCTACAATAATTGCTTTTTTAATGTTTGTTTCCAGAGTATGTATTGCAGCTAAAGACTTTTTCCACAATATGATAGTCTGGATAATTTTCATAATACAGGTGTTTTCATAGAATTAGTGTTGAAAGAGACCAAAACTCAACTAATACTGTAACCTTAGACAGGAATGATGCTATTTTTCACTTATGCATATTCACATACACAGTCATATATACCCAATACAGTAGTTCCTCTGAGCACATGCACCAAGCTGTTTAATTTTGGCTAATTCATCTGAAAGAACTAAACAGCTTAGATTATAATGTGTTGTGACAACTTGTAAGTCACTTTCCAAACTGAAATGTTGGCAGGGGTGCCGTTTTTGTCATGCATGGTTTTCCACGGATTATTTCCCCTGTTCTGCATCCTCTTAATTTCAGTGAGGAAAACACTGGCATGAGAGGCTATCCTGAGTCCTATCTGATGAATGGAAAAGCTGTAGATCTAAAAACTCTCCTCCAACCACTATTTCAGGGCCTATAACTGAGAGGAACATTGTTGTTGGTATAATTACACCTGCAGTGCTTTTTGCATCCATAATTGATACTTCAAAATGATCACACCTCCTTTTATCAAAAGAGAAGCATTTTCATCCATCCTGGACACCCAATGAATTTTTCAACAGGATTACGTTGTATCTGTTCACCATGCCACTGTTTAAAATATGCTATAAAGGGGTTTTTTTTGCCTTTCTTAGGCTGTTCTTTGGTATTCTGCCTTTGTGCAAGTATCTTCACAATGATAGGTATGAAAGGGCTACTTTTGGTATTATTTATGAAATAATTTGCTACTTTAACTTTAAAACTGTTCTGTTAAAAGAAAAACAAATGTATTCATATAATGTTGACGGTGCAGCTAATCTTATGTTTTTCAGGAGAAAAGAGTATTCTGACACATTATGATTACAATGATAACATTATAGTCATGCCATAGAACTACACTGGCCAATCTTTTACCTGGTTATTGTGCCATCCTTATTCTAGCTGGATTTTGGTGGCATGGCTTTCCTTACATATGCTACCAGAATGTAGCCCATGAAAGGGAGGCAACATCCATTTGAAAAACTGTGTGGTTCGTGAAATAATGAGTCCCTCATAAGATTCCAATTCATCATCAGCTTTAAGTACCGCATGTAATTATACATAACAAAGTTTAAGATTTTGAGGAATACAGATGCAATTGGTAGGAGGTGACATCTGCATTTCAACTTCTAATTAATTTACTTGTGTATATAAAACCAACTGGATAAGCACCAACCACTGATAAGGATTTTTTTTCTCTTACATTAATCCAGATACATGTATTTGAATTTCTTTAGGCAGATCATTGTCTGGTTTTCCACGTATGTTAATAATATGAAGGGGAGATAACAGACGTTCCCCAGATACTGAAGAGATATCTGCGGGGGCTGGACAAAATAGCCATCCCCACCTAAAATTTGGATAATTGGAGCAAGCTTTCATTGTACATTCTTTCTACATGAAATGGTGTCATGTGAATCACCCCACCCAGCCACAGCAGCTGAAACAGGAAACATTACTATAATAACTCCTGCTTAACCAGTTTTACATACCTGAACAATGTTAAGTTTTCTAAAATCATATGAAGACAGTGATGTCATTCAATAATGTACTATTTTTTAATAGACTTGGATGAAAAAAAAACTACTCTTAAGATCCAAATCCCAGCCAATATTAAATATTTTCATTTTTGCTCCAGAATGAAAACACGTGGAATAAGAAGTGCTTTGCATTCAGGGGTGTTTCTTTACCACTTTTATATGTAGAGAATTGTTTTATTAAGAAATGTTTGCATTTTTTTCAAGTCTGATTTGTCTGATTTGTCTGATTTGTTAACAATGATCTTTAAAATAATTTGAAATAACTCTGAAGGACCCAAAGATGTAAAATCTGTAATAAAAATTTTGTAAAGTCATTGTTTCTATTCCTATTTGTTTCATGCCAGTTCATTAGTTGAAGTGGAATTAGAATTGGAAACTGCATTTTCCAATTCTATCAGTATGAAAAAGTAAAAAGACATGATGGGCTCTTAATATTATCTATGTTTGATTATGTAACTTCTTTACCATCTTAGAGGATTGATTTGAAAACATGTCCCATGTGATTTACATAATTTACCATCAGCCTTCCCTAACCTGGCCATGATAGCCTTGATTTCTGCGAATTATAGTACTAGCACATTTGGAGGTCACTAATTTAAGAAAGACAGAGCTTTTTTATTTATCTAGCAATATGTCTTGTTGGAGTCCCATTTTTCTATTTTTATTAGCCATTTTAACACCTTTTCTCTAAATATGAACCTTTTTTTCTGGAATTGTAGGCTCTTAACTGTAAAACTTGTATGCTCAAAATACTCTAGAAATAAAAGAAGCTTGACATGGGATTTTGTCACTACTGACTGTGCAATGAACTTAACGTCCATTAGAACAATTAATTCAAATACATATGGTCGTAGATTACAGGGCATAAATTCCCAGTTACATTCAGACTTTTATAAAAAGATGGAGAATCAAACTAAGAATAAAGACTGATCATTCTTAATGACTGGATTCATACAACCTGCTAATTCAAACCAACAGTATCAAGTGACGAACATCACATTCTGCTATCAGTTTTTATTAAGCAAGGAAAGATGCTGGGATACTACCCTGGATAAACAATTAGTTTGCCAATCTGGACTCTATCTGGTAAAATAATTATTAGAAATAATTAGAATTATTAGTTTCTGGGTAAGAAACTATTTACATCATTCCATGACATGGTTTGGTATACAGTATGTGGACGCTTTAGATGTATCATATGTTGGGAGATAAATGGTTGAGATGCTTTTCACATAAAGCTGTAGGAATTTTCTGAGTAACCTACAATTTTTATCTAAAGGTATATCCTATGGGGAAAGGCATGAGAAAACTTCAGGTGCACCTAATATATTTTGTTTTTTACTGGTGCTCAGATGGTAAAGTGGAGCCAGATATTTAATACATCTCAAAACCTGACCTAAAGCCTGATTACAATGGAACTAAGAAATCAGTTTCTTCCAAGAGTGTCTAGATCTTATCAGTTACTATTCCCTGGCCTATAGATCTTTAGGCCATTCCTTTTCATAGGGACTAATCTATAACCGCCTGGACCTAGCTGTGCAGTCCATTCCTACTAGATGTAATCAATCTTGAGGGATAAGCATACATGTAATTGGTCAAACTCATCTGGTCTTAAAAACTGAAACTCATCCCCCTCCCAAAAATCTGATCTGACAGGCCCCTGGTTACCTTTACAGAATTAATAATCAATTTTGCCATAAAAATGTCCATTAAACATGTCACAGTGAGTTACTAAGCAAAGCAACTAATAAGGGAACTGAAAGTACAGTTTCCACATCTGAGTGGAGTTGATGTGCTCCAACTGGAATACAGTCTGGAACTGAAGTTGGAAAAGTAATGATACACAGATCTCATCTTCTCTGCTGCAACACAGCAATCAAATTGCCTTCTGCTGCTCCAGCCAACTGCTGGAGGGTTGCTGAATGCCCTGCTGAATGCCCTGCTGAATGCCCTGCTGAATGCCCTAAATTAAATTTATTAGAAACAGAAGTATTACAGAAGAAAATAAAATGTGCTAAACAGAAAAATTATGAACATGCAAAAATGTTGAACATGCAAATAAACCATGAAAACTATTAGCCTATTAGAAAAAAGAAGTACAAACAATATTATCATTTTTCCTTCACCTTCATCTCCTCATCTTGTCAGAGAATATTTTATGGAGAAGGTGCAATATTACCAGTCTTAGGTCTTCACATTTATGCAATTTCTGCCAGGAATAGATCTACTGGAACTTTTAACAGTCTTAATTGTCCATGTTAGGCCAATCCACTCCAGCATTGCAGCTGGGAGAGCCCATATCACTAGAATGTTGCTGAGAAATCAAAATCTCTGCAATAGCAAGGATTGGAACTAAGCTCAGAGGGGACTGGGAAACCTTAGAGTGATACCATTGATGACAGTAGTTCTGGGAGATTTCACCCTCCCCTCCCTGCAGTCAGGGGAAACTTAGAATTTTATGGTTACCATGACACCATGGGCTTTTCCTGGTTATCACTAGCCTGACCCACATTTTAGGCCACGTACACTCACTCAATCAGGTTGGCCAAACCCTGGCTAGGGCAATGGGAAAAGTCTGGTCTGGACATAGAAGCAACTCAATTCTTTCTTTTCCTCATTTAATTTTATACACAGACTTGTTGCTGAGTGGATTCAGAGACACATTGCCCTGTTACTGAGTGAGCTCAGGTAATCACACAAATCAGTCACTTCCTCCTTGCACTCTGCTGCATTTACCGGAAACTTGGGCAGATTTTGTTTGCTTCTCCTTGTGGTTTCCTGCCTTGCTTACATGCTGAATTCACTTTGAACTTAGGGCAGATGGTTCATAAAATCATAAAAATGGCTACATGCTTTTGTAACATGTTACTCTCCGATTTTCCTTCAGTATGTTTCTGTCTTCATTATACATGCCAGGTCAGCTGCCCCATCCAAAATCAAACTATAGATGAGGGCAGTCTTATTGAACACTGATCTGGCATTCAATAACAGCAACCAGAGCCAGGGTCAACCAGAATCCTGGGGCCTGGCATCAGAAGTAAATACTAAGGGCCAGAAAGTAGAAGTGATCTCAGCCATGGGCCCTTTCATCTTTGTGAGTGGCCTTTCTGCAGATTCATGGCAAATATTCCTCTGCCTGTCATAACCGTGATGGTATTGCCTGCCTACTTCTCTCTTCCTAATTCCACCCCACCCCCACCTTCTAGGTCATGGAACCATCTAACCACCACAGACACACACACACACACCCAACAAACCACAGTAATTTCCCTCAACAGCACTCAGCAGCCTGAAGGGTGCTCTGCTGACACAGTTAAACCAATAATCCACATGCAACCCCACAATATTATTTAAATAATGATCAATATCTTAAATTTTGAAAAATCAAAACAGTTCCAACAATACAATTAGGATATTTTGCCATTTATTATAAATCTAATTGAGATGGTTTTCCATTCATTTTAGGAAAATTACCAAGCAATTATTGGACCTTGTACATAATGCTAGTAATTTGTATCTACAAGCTTTAATCACCGGACAGATCTCAATTTGAGTTTCCTGGCTCAGGTATTTCCCTCAAATTTCACTCTTTTTTTCTTTTGGTTTCTCAAGGAATATTAATATTACTATATGCACACACGACTTCAGTTTTCAATTTTCTATAAATTATTCTCATACTCAACAACACATTTTACTTTGAGTTCATGAACCCAGTTATAGCAAACATCACTCCAATTTTTATTACTTTTGCTGTTCTATGTACATCCGTATCCCATACACACATATGCACCAGTCTACAATTCTTCTTTCCCTGAAATATGTATTAGTATGCAGAGGTTCCCTTTTTGCAGTTTTATCAATTTTAAATTTGCTTTAGATTTAATTCCAAGGAATAAGCTGTGGGAAAAACTAAGAGGATCCTCAGTAAATAAAACACTGCTTCTACTCATTCAGTCCCTCCATTCTGACCCTACTTGGAGAGTTGGATGTTCTCACTAAGGACATCTGTCTGGAGCTGGCAGTCCCCAGAGAGATGTGAGGCAGAAGTATGATCTAGCCCTTCTTCTATTTAAGTTGTACATCAACTTGTATTTAAGTTGTACATCAATTCAATAATCGACTCATCTCTCCCATGTATTACTGTAGGAGGCCAATTTTTCCAGGCTTTCTACATGCAGACAACATGGTGATCCAGTCTATTTCCCAGGTGGGAATGAAAAGGGCATTGAGAACTTTGGCCTCTCTTTGTTTAGAAGAAAAACTAGTAATGATCATAAAATGAAAGTCCTCATTTTGGCATGAATTTATTATCAAGTGCCTTAGCAACTCTTAGCAACTACATTTCAGTTTTTGCATATAACTTGCATAGGATCTGCAAGTCCTAGTAATAAAAGTCAAGGAGCACAGTGAAAAAATGGGACTAATATTAAATATAAAGAAGACCAAACTAACAACAACAGGTAGAACAATCAGTCTTAGAACTGATAATGAAGATACTGAAGTGGTGGATAGCTTCTGCCTTTTAGGATCAGCCATCAACAGTAAAGGAAAAGCAGTCAAGAAATACACTGCAGACTAGCACTTGGTAGAGCAGCCATGAAGGCCTTGGAAAAGATATTCAAATCCCATGATGTCTCTATACCTACAAAGATCAGAATCATGCAAGCCATTCCCTGTGACACTCTATGGAAGTGAAAGTTGGACTTTGAAGAAGCAAGATAGGAAGAGTATTGATGCTTTTGAACTTTGGTGTTGGAAACAACTCCTGAGAATACTGTGGACAGCCAAGAAAACAAATAAATGGACCATTGAAGAAATCAACCCAGAGTTTTCACTCAAGGCACAAATGACCAGGCTCAAATTATCCTATTTCAGACACATTATGCAAAGACCAGCTCTCTGGAGAAGGCTCTAATGCTAGGAAATGCTTCTTACCCAGAGTTGTGTTTACTATTGCTACTGCTGCTGCAAAACATGCTGCTAGGTGGATGCTAAGCACTGTCATCTCAGTAAGTATTTTTCCAAATCTCCTTAAATTTGCCTGATTAAGCAGAGGGAAAAAAAATCCACACTCAGGCACAAATACCCAGACACACACACACACAGAAGATATTACTAAAGGCTTCACTATGTTCTTTATTTCCCTTATTTTTTCTTATATTATTTTTATATGATATCCTCACTATGAATGAAATATGATTATCTCCAGATACAACTGGAGCCAAAAAAAGAGATTTTTAAAAATGATAATTATTCATGGATGGAGTGTAAAAAATGGACAAAGCACCTCTGTCTACGTATCATGTAATAATGGCCACCAAGTCAAATGTTTTGGAAAAAGAATACTTGCTCACATACCGCTATTAGTAACTACTAGTCAAGATCAGAAGCATGCTTTAAATATCAGTCACAAAAAGCAAACTGTAGGAGTCACACTGTCTTCATGTCCCGTTTATGGGTTTCTTTTAGACCTAGTTGGTAATCATAAGAAACAGATGCTGTAAAGATAGATCTTTTGTTCTCCCAGCAGATTTTTTATCAATCTTATTATTATAACTGCAACTGAAATTAATGGAAATTATCACATGACTATATTTTGTCTCCTTTAATGTCAAAAAACCATGACAAAAACAGGGTAAAGCACAGGATTTGAACTAACTGCAGACAAGACAGATCACTCCCAATTTTAAATAATTTCCAGCCAGAGGACATGTATCTTAAAAAGTTGCATTGAATGACATCACATTACTGTATTCTCAAGTTTAAACTCTACACGTGAGAAACATCAAAATGATTTGCCACAATAACACCCTCTTGTTATTGTGGCCAATCATTAAATCATCCACATAACAAAGTATATACACATCCCTCCCATTTCTGTGTCTTGTGTCTAGCAGGGATCAGCTTTTCCTTGAATGAAACCCTGGTCATTTGGTTTAAGTTTTTGTTCCACGCTCTGGCTGCCTGCTTCAGGCCATAAATCCCCTTCTGAAGCTTGCAAAAGAGATGCTTGGTATTGAGATTACTAACGCCTGGAGGCTGTGTCATGTAAAGTTCTTCTATCTCCCCATGTAAAAATGCAGTTTTAACA